TAAACAAATCAATGGCATTCAAATTGATGAGCTCAATATGTGGTATTTGAGTTGAATGTAGCTTGTCAATAAAATTGGTCTTTGATTGAGGAAAGTGCAGCAATGAAGCACTTTATCCACTGTTGTGATTAAGTTATTCTATCTGGTTAAGTAATTTGCTTAGATTACTTGGAATGAAGGGAATTTTGTTTTGAAATAATATTCCAGACATACCGATATTGTTTTTCACTCACAGAAGATAACTTATTTTCAGTCCTCAAACTCACAAACACAAGGCAAAGAAATATAGTAATAGTATTTTTTGCGTTCAAAAAGCTGTACTTACACTCCACAAATCCAGTATTCAATTAATCGCTCAAAATACCTAAGTTCATCGCCACCCATAAAGAAGACGACCAAATCTAGATCTTTATCTCGACCCGCATAGCATGCACTTAACCGCAACAGCATCCTAAAATTAACCCGAACGATGTGCACTAAAAATGTAAACCACCAATGTCTCAACTATTCAGAGAAGGAGACGTATTGCCACCCATTCCATTGCCGCGTCTTTCAACTTGAACTGTTTTATGGTATGAACGTGAGACCAAGGCTAGTACTTAGCCCGTCGTAAATCTAGCCAGACGATATATACCTATTTTATGTACTTAAACTTTGTTATTTATACGCGTGTGTATTAACGGGTTTTGCGGCTTTTATGGGTAAGGGATGTCCGTGATTTTATGGGGTAGGACTTTTAAGGGGGTTTTTAATGGTCATTTAAAAGAAAAGCATGATTTTTGTGTTTAGAATGCATTTAAGATAGCATTTCCTATAGTAAGTCAATGAATATTATTATCCTTCTCCGTGTGAGAAGAGGCTTTGTTCAGCAGTGGACATTTATAGGCTATTGATGATGATGATGAATATTATTATGTCATCAAAAACGTATTTTTTATGTCCCAACTTATAATCACAGTTCAAAACCTTAAACTCAGTTCACAACATTTCACACAAATCCTATTTAATAACAAACTACGGCTGGAATTTTGATTACTACTAGACAGTAATAGATCCAAATTAATTCTAAATTGGAACTATGAAATACCTGAATGTAGACATCAGCCTTAATGTAATCAGCTTCCAAGTTACAATCCATGTAATTAATACTTGAAATGCCTTCATTTGACATGATACTACTCATATAACTTGAAATTTCATGTTATGTGAGTATAATAATATAAAATTAGGTATGAAAATAGACTACCTGGGATAAAAATAGAAAAATGTGCCGTAAAACATAAAATAGACCTTCATTATAGCTACTTAAGATACTGATTTCAACAAAAAATCCAGTTACGGTATAGATGACACCGAATAAGTAATAGTAAAGATATTTATCCTTGATACTATTCTGCTTTTCCATTTAAAACAGTCTTAAGCTTGTGTTTTGGGTAATAAATCTGTACGAATGTTATTCTCAAATAATGTTAAGAGTTACTTCTATTAAAATGTAGGTACAAAAGTTAAACCTACATCTTACTCCAACACCACAAAATACAATTCGGTACATCCCAACAACTCACTACGGCGAACCAAATAAAATCTCGACCCGTTCCAATAATGTTAACAAAAATAAATTGACCTCTCTGTGAATCGTTTTTAAAATTGCCAGATTCTGCCTACCCAGCACGATTCGCGGTGTGAAACGAAAAAATCGCCGGTAAAGCCGAAAGCCGTCGGCTCCGATTTTATTCACCTTTTTGGACGGCACCGAATCGACTGGAGCGGTTATTATTGTGTTTTGTAGAGGAAAAGTAATAATGCTGATGCGATGACGAGGCGATTTTGTTGGAGTATATTTTTTAGTTTTTTTTATGAGCCTTTCGGTAGTGAATTACTTACAAAAAGTGTCGTGAACGCGAACAAGTAATTGACGCGGGTGATATACTTCATAAATCACATGGTTATAACCTATACCTATACCATCGTATTCTTTAAAACTACGTACCTATGTGTTAATCTAGATATTAGTAGGTACACAATCCAAATCATTTCTGTGATTCAAGGTCAATAGTGACACACATCTTGAAACAATATTGCGAGTCCACTCATATAATTATTTATTTGTATCTCTTCTTCATGTTGTGACGAGGTTATCGGGGGCCCGATAACCCCCCCCCCCTCCCCTAATCCCTGAATCCCTAAAAATCCTCCAATTCCTAATCCTAAAAAGCTGGTAACGCACTTGTAACATGTCCAGGTTGGCGTTCCAGGAGTCCATGGGCAACACCGATTGCTGACCATCAGATGATCCGTCTGCCCGTATACCAGCTTTTACCATAAAAAATAAAAGATTCAATGTTCCATACAAATCTCTGTATCATACATTGTTATAAATATAATACATTTAGATAAGATTAACTACACTCGGTGTTCAGGTCGCTTGATAAAATGTTCCTGACGTTTTTCTACTAACACATTTCAACAGAGTTTACTGCGGTTAACGTTTTCTCTTGCACAGGTATTACTTTGTTAGCATTTGTCACAAAGCTAACATTGTTGCAAAATAATTATCAAATTTCCACTCACACGTTTTGTGAATACAGATAAACTGAGTTAAAACTTACTCAGCTGTTCTTAGATTAGTCGTATAGTCGAGCAGAATTATTTTATAAAAAAAACCGACTCCTTTTGAAGTCTTTGTAATAACTATCGTGAGACATACTAAATTAAGTAAAAACGCGGGTTACTCACGTGAATATACTGAGAAAAGCTCTACTAGTTTCAAACCACAGAGGGGTTCTTCCTCATGAGCAGCGTGCGCGGTCGCGGCGACGTCGCGCAGCTCACAGCTCACAGCTCAGAGCTTTTCTCAGTATATTCACGTGAATAACCCCCGTTTTTACTTAAACTGTCAAACACAAAGCGGTCACCGGTGACCGCAACCTATTGTTCTATAATTGTGTCTACAAAACCGATACTCGACGAGTTAATTTAGTCTATATCGCACATGCAAAGTTTACATGCAAATTACACAATTATACTTTCAATGCAATTATACTTTCAATAAATTCCTGAAATAAGTTTCCGAAGTACTCAATAGCTGTTGGTAGGAAAGCACTCAGTTAATTCATAAATTAAGAGAATGGACTAAAGAGTCTGGCACTCCGACTAATTCTACTCTAAACGTTTTAGTCCCACGGGACTCGAACTGGGATTTCATGGTTAAAGACTGTCCTTAAGTTTTTTCTATTAAAACAACGAGGCTCTGTAATCAGTATTTTACTTATTGTTTATTCGGTCGGAGTGTAGCAAAGGATGTGCAAGAGATTTGGGACTTTTTAGAGATTTTGGAAAATTTTTCATACATAATGAAATTTCTTATGCATGGCTAGTTTTTCATTTCCATCGCTTAGTATACCTAGAATAAAGCGAAAATGATTTGGGCACTTTCTGTCGAAGACCTCAGGTTCGCCTGTAAATGAGCTCTAAAAGTCAGTTGGCGGAGTATGAAAGTCCTTAACTCCTTGCACACCCTTTTCTACACTTCAACCATTTATTCTATGATTTTGAAGTGGGAAGTAGCATATTCATATTTTTCACCTCTTAATATTATCAACAGAAAAATCACTACAAACCTATTTCGAACTCCGTCAAACTTCAACCGCGGAAGTTCATTGTAAACTCTATGGTATAAAAATTTTCATAATGCTTCCGGCAGCTGATGCAATATTAAATTTTAAATATCGAACGCTTGCGACGCCCGACATTCAATTTGCCGCGAAATCTCTGTTCGAAACCGTTGAACACACGGTACTAAAAATAACGATTTTGATGTGAGCTGCAGGCGGCCGATTTAAAAGATCATAATATATTTAATGGCGGTATACGGTTTTACTATTGTCTTGTGTGACGGTAATTTTATATCTAGGCTTTAAAATACGTTTGAGATATGATGTATTAATAATTTCAATGCCTGTGTTATTATAAGTACTAGACCGCAGCTTGTCAGTATCATTAAGTCTAAAATAATTGTTAAGCGTAGGCACATATAAGTAGGCATATCTATATTTTTTTTTTTAATTTTTATGTTTTTGTGTCTTAAGTTGTATATATTTAGTAATTGAATGCATCAATAAAATCATTCAAGTACAATTTGAATATGACAAGTTATAGATACTGTCGCGTAATGGAGGTAAAATAAATGAAAGAAAAACTACGATCAGTTTGTATAATAAATGAAAATATTACATGATAAGAAGTAGTATGTTTATCTACATGATATATACCCACAGTTTATTTGAAGCAACTTATTAGATCAATCGCTCGATTTACTGAGAATCCCTTTAAGTTTGTTCGTACGAAAATAAAAAAATCAAAGAGCAATTTTTTCTCGTAGCCCGCATAAAAGAGAGTACTGATCAAAATTCAAAAGATTTTTCCTCCAATAGAGATATTGTGGAAATACTTCATATTAAAATGTAATAAAATTCTCCATCGCTAATATAATTCTGTGGCGTGGACGGAGCCTAACGCTGGCAACACATACGATTGTCAATTCGTATTAAGTACCATTTTATACTTTATTTGAATAGGATAACGGTCGATTTTAATTAATAAAGATTAGGGTTAATGTTCCCTATAGACAAATAAATACGTGTAAATCTTAATTTATAAAGTACTAATATATCAGAAGTTGTGGCCATTTTATTAAAAGAGAACGTGTTTTATTTGCCAAAGTCGTTTGATAAATAGGACAACAAACAAATCCTAGTTACATGCCCTCAAAATAGTGCCAATATTGACCGACCGGGCAGTAACATCGATTAATATCTCCACCTTATTTTTAAAAACACCATCATATTGCCCGAGTGCCCTCACTATTTATGTCAACAAATTAAACAGGGTCGGTGGGCACGTACGCAATAAAGCTCCCTATGTACACACACAACTCGCGCAATACCCGCTGGCGGCGCTACTGTCGACCAATCGATAGGTGCCTGGTTGCCTGGCAACGATCATGTTGCAAAATAAACAATCAGATTCGGGCCCCGTCTAGAACAAATTTACTTAGTTATTTTATTACTTGTGTCAACATTTTAGATCGATATTATAAGATTATTTACTGATCGGGAGTACGTAGCATGTTTTTTTGATATATTTTTATTAGTGAGTGAGTGAAAATGGTGTTGTTACCGCCGTGCGCCCCCGAACTTTGCGGGAAGGATTTCCGACATACTTTGAAGAAACCAAGCCCAAACTATCCATATGGATACAAGACAAAGAAGCCCAGGGTTGTCCCGGCGTTTACTATACAAGGTAAAATAATACATTTCATTATAATTTTGAAAAATTACAAGTATCAAACTTTAAAGACTTTCTTAGCCAAGGCTGTTGAAGCATCATAATAGAAATAAAATTGTGTAGCTACAAGAGCAACAGCTTGCCAATCAATCACCTACCCTAATCTGACATCCCTTCAGTTTAAAATTGAATAAAATGCTAATAGAATTTGTTTATAAAGCGTGTACGAGATCTATTTAGGGCAGTAGGTTACTATGGCGTTTATTTTAATAGTCTAGCAACATAATGTTGACTGCATTAAAATGAGTGCTATCCTATAATAATTTTTTGAAGAAATCACCTTATTTTAGTCCTTAACATGATATAAATAACGCATAATTTAAATTGATAATATTTAACAAACCGAAATGTATAAATGTGGGCATTAAATACGCTCACTGAAGATTAATATTTCGTTTAATATGTGAGAAAGATTTTGTTAATATTTTATTCTAATTCTTCTTCTCCAGCCATGCAGAAGAACACCAAAGTTATTCCTCCACCGAAATGTAGTGTGTTCGATCCCATGCCACCACGACCCACTTTGTTCAGGAAGTGCTACCAAAGAGGGGAATTTCCAGTATGTATCGAGTTTACGAACTATGGCAAGCGATTGGCGTGGAAGGTAATTTACTTGTTCATATGTATTTATTAGTGACTTAAATAGAATGCAATGTACCACAGATTGTTTAACTAAGGGTCTTGCATTCTTGTTAGCAAACGTAAGAATGCCATTCATGAGTTCAACATGTACTACGAATTCGTAGCAACGCTTTTAGATCGCTACGAAATTTCGTAGCTGCTACGACGAAGATATTTTTTTTGAAATGTGTATAGTTTAATGAACTCTATTAATTGTTTGTTCGTGGAACTTTGTTTTTTTATGCCGAAGTGTAATTAGGTAGCCTAAATATGCCAATCAACGAAAAGATACCTGAGTGTTCCGGTACTTATCGTAATTGTGCGTAGGTGGTTGCGTCATCAACTTGTGTATGTGTGTGTAGTTCTATAACCTATTTGTTAATTGACGTCGTTGATATTGTAGGAGAATATATCAATTATATTAATAATATCTTTACTTTCGTTCAATGGCCAAAATTATTTCACATAAACAATACTGTAATTGTTACATTCATAAATGGAAGCACTTACCCTTCTTCACGATCCACTTGGTAAAATATTTGTTCATTTTATTCAGCAGTTTTTAACTAAGAAAACCAACTGTAATTTTATAACACACTTACTGAGAAATGCTTGAGATTTAATTCCGAATTCTAGGTAACACACTACTATCTCCAAAACGAGATATTTTCTATTCGAAGAAATGTGAATTTGATCAATTTTAGATTCTATTTATATGAGCGAATGAGAAAATGAAGTAAACCCTAAATTTATTACATGATAATGTATTCAGCTTTGTGGGAAGTGGCCTGGAATATCCATTTATAGGTAGCTATCCCTTGGAAGTAATAAAATTAAGTGTAAGATTCCCCTAGGAGTTCAGTTTCGTATCACTTAAAAGTTTTCATTGAAAATCTTAGATTAGATACTATTATTTGTTTTGATTAAAATTGAAACACAAGAAATAATTTAGGACATCTATAAGAAGACAAGCTGCCATCATAGAACAAAGTTATGAGACTATAATTACATTTATATGTATAATAAAACGAACAGGCAAAAGTAAAGAATAGTTTTAAATAAAGTTGTTCTAAATAAATAAACTTCATAAGTTTCATTATAAAGTAAAATTTTATTCACAGGTCCCGATTGAGAAGCTGGACTTCCATCATTACTTGCCGATGTTCTTCGACGGTCTGGCTGAGGCGTCATACCCGTACACTTTCATCGTGGAGAGAGGCATAAACGACCTGATCACCAAGGGATCCTACAAAGTCCTGCCTGTCGTACCTCAACTTATCATACCAATTAAAAGTAAGTGTAGTTATTTCGTCGTTATTGGTAGACAAGTTGAAGATTTTAGAACTTAATTTTTTTAAAGTTGTAATTGAAGTGCTACAATAAAATACACTACAGTGATTTGTTATTGCCTTTTGTGATGTACATAAGAGCTCTCTGTTTTTACTCGACTTCAAAAAAGAAGAAGGTTCTCAATTTGACTGTATGTTTTTATGCTTGTTACTCGCTTTCTCGAAGACGCATAGACCGTTTTCAACATTTTTTTTTGATATTGATATAGCATATTCGTTTTTAGACTGATAAAAATAGTGCCACTATGCAATATGCACATAATATTACATTATCTGAACTTTATCACAATACATGACATGTAAGTAGTACTTAGCTGCTCCATACTACAATACTCTTCTTAGTTCAGCCTAGGAAATATAATCTACCCAGATAATAACTTGTAAGCATTTTCATCGCCTCAGAGTACTCTCGTCTGGGAGTAATTTCCAGTGCGTCTACAAGGCTCCTTTTCCACGACATCGCATTTTTCATACTGCATTTTCTAGTCTGCATTAATTCTTAATATGTGCCTTATAAGGTTTGTCTGATCAGGTTCACTTTAAAAGGTTTGATGTTCTTTGAAGAGACTATGTGAGGTAAAGATATTAAAATTTACTTTGTGTTCATTTTAATATAATATTTTTCATGAGAATATGAGTTATAATAGAGGTGAATTTTCAACTACACAGAGTTACAATTAGTTTATCTACCTACAATTTAATTTTATCTGGGCATCTTCAAGACCTGAGTGAAAAGATTACTTATGGGTCGACGTGCTCCATCGTACACCGTATTATCGCTTATCATCAGGCGAGATAGTAGTCAAACGTCGGCCCATTAAACTGTCAAACACCAAGCGGTCACCGGTGACCGCAACCTATTGTTCTATAATTGTGTCTACAAAACCGGTACTCGACGAGTTAAATATAAAAAAGAAAAAATAATATTTGTACCTAAAGAAGTTAGTAGTCATAATTTTCTTTTTGGAAACATAAAGTGTAGTTGCACTTTCCACCTAATAATCTGATTTTTATATCATATATTGGTTTGTCTGCAGATGCACTAGCGACGAAGCGACCCAACGTAATCTGTCACGCGCTCAGGTGCATTCAAATGCTGGTGACTGGCTGCGACAAGGTGGGAGAGGCCCTTGTACCCTATTACCGGCAGATACTGCCGATATTGAACCTGTTCAAGGACAAAAACCGTGAGTAGACAGACGCCATTATTTTTAAAGTTTTGCTTGCTATTCCTTCTTCAATTATGTTATTCCTATTAAAATGTAAATGTACAATAACGGTGTGTTACATATCACTGGTAATATTAAATTTTTTACTGTTTTACTGTTAGATCTTTGTGTGATCGGTTTTCAAATAAGAGCACGCTCTTAATACTTGGTTTTCTAGTTATCTGCTTGATTGAGGGAGGGATTTCCCAAGAATTGAAACCAAGTTATCGAACTTCATTTAGGCGAGAAATCTAGAAAAAACATTGCAATTTTCCAAAAATAACAGCACTGTTGTAGCAATATACAGCAGAAAAGCAAAAGTATGATTCTTAATAAACCTCATATATTATATAGAACGTAGGCGACTATGGTAATGGCGAACAATTTACAAAACATTAGCTTCAGGTAGAACGCAAAAACGCGCACCGCAACTATCTAGTGACCGAAGTTAATGGGGCTAGCTTAACACGCTTCCCGCTTGTTTTTTGTCGAAACGTAATTGTTTTCTTCCAACTACAAAACGTATATCTGGCTGTTTGTTTGGAGAAATTGTCGTTGACGGATTTTGGGAATGATGATAGAAGAACTAATGGTCGTAATGGAATAATTATATAGGTACTATATGAGCTAACGCAGAAATTAATAGAAAAAAAAAATAATGCTTAGTCTACCCTGGCATCAGTCATAGAGATCTGCTTGTTAGATCGTGTAGGATAAGTAAAAAAAAATAATTCGAAAATAAACCCTTTATTTTTTAATGGCCCACAAACAGCATCAAACGAGGAACCCACAAAAATGTCTTCCAGACGCCACAAAACAGCAACAACAGCTAAAATATCAAAATCTCAAGTATGACAACAAAAACTCGAGACGTACTCGGTAATAATGCGACGCGCCACGGCGACACCACACCGCACCACGGGCGTGAGGGCCTGACGCCACCAAACGCCCGAACGCCCAAATTTCACAGCCACATGTAATTAATCTACCCCCGGATGCCCCGACAAGTCTATTAGGTTGAAAACAATATCTTCTCGGCCCTCCAAGTGTCAATTATGAGGTGAAAATGATTGATGACGTCATCGACGCAAATCGGGCGTAGTGACGTAATTAGGTTTTGAAATTGGATGCGTGGAAAAGGAGATTTTCGAGGCTTTTTTCTCACTTGATGTGTTTCGTCTTCTGGAAAAGTAAATAGATTTTGTTCTTACTTGATCTTTGTGAGCATTTTCTTGTTGAACTTTACGTTGCACTTGCGAAAATTGAGCTGTGTAAGAATATATTCCTTAAGTTTACTACTAGTAACAGAGGCTTTCTTTTAAATGAACTGAGGACTTTATTTTCTACAGAAAAAAAATGTAATTTCCATTTACACTTTTTTCTGTTCTACCATCTACCATAAAACGGTTTAATAAATAATGAACTATAATATGCGTTTAATATTCACCATGCACTAGGCTACGAGAAATTACGTCGGACCAAATTGATCGAGGTCTACCTATGTCAATGTTTAATCAAATGCGTTTGTATTGCATCCTATTTGAATAAATATTAGCTTTGATATAGATACTCCCAATATGTTTCTGCGCCAATTATTATATGTTATTCCAAAATTACAACATGAAAACAGCTACTAATATAAATATTTGTGAGTCCAGTCAAGAAATATAAAATCAATTCATTACCCACTTTTGGTTTTAATTTCCGATATATAAAAATGTGAATAAAGTGAATAGCGTATTTTTGAACTGAACATTCAAAAAACAGACCCCGATTTTTATTAAACCAAGTTTAACATGTCAAATTCAAAACTGAATGGTGGCAAAAAATATATTCAACATTTTGCGGTAAAGTTTGCTTGTCGGAACTTTATTCCGATATTTTAATTATAACTAGTGAACTGTCACGGACTTCGCATGCGTTAAATTAATAGAACAACCTCTTTTTATTTTGATGTTGGTTTTAAAATAATCAGATTGTGTACTGAGCAACATAATTTTTCCTTTATTGAACACAAACAATATTCGCCGTAAATACCAAAGCTTTGTGTACCAAGAAATGCATATGACGTAATCAATTTGTATAGCACCCTCTGTTAGCATGGCAAGTCGATCAATATGTCGATCCTAGGGCCTTGTGTAGGCTACGGGAGAATCACAAAGACCGACACAGTTTCGTCTCAGAATGGACGCCTACAAGATGGTTACATGGAAAGTAATTCACCAGGTAGATTGGCACTTTAGCACAGAGAATGCTTGCAACAAGGTTTCCCATATAATTGTTGATAGATCATTCATTGGTCATTTGAAATAACGTATCTATGAACAGTTGATGGTCAATTTTAGGTGAATGTTGTTGTTAGTTTTTTTTTATATTTGATGGGCTGACGTTTGACCAATAACTCGCCTGCTGGTAAGCGATGATACGGTCTACGATGGAGCACGTCGCCCCATAAGCAACCTATTCAATCGGGCCTTGAAGACATCTAGGTTTAAAAAATGTTGTTTCGTGTAACAGGAAATATTGTAAAAATGTAAGCTTTGTTATATTGATGTTAATTAGGTATATGCAATGGACAGAAATCATCAGAAGATATTTAGGTACTTACAAACAAAAGATTATTGAGTAACAAACAAGTCTGAAAAAGTTATTAGATTAATTGTAGTAAAGAAGAGAACTTACTTCTACTTAAAATTTTTGAGCGTTTTGTACTTTCTGCTTTATCTTGCAAAAACAGCGTTCATCGTAACCATATCAGAGGTTTATTCAACATTGGTGATAATGATGTCTTTTTCATTGCTCAAAGGTAACATCGGATCTGGCATCGACCACACGACCACGCGTGGTGAGAATGTGGGAGATCTCATCGAGAGTACGTTACAAATGTTGGAGAGATACGGAGGCCCCGATGCGTTCATCAACATTAAGTACATGATCCCAACATATGAATCAAGTGTACTTAACTAATTTACATAAACATAAAGTAGATTGCACTTATTGCTTATCGAATTCGATTTTTTTTAAATTACTTATTATTATTATTATCGCTAATTTTAATCATGACGAAGTGATATTATTTTTAATATTAGATATTAACTTTGTTTAAATCGATTATGACTTTTAATGCTCATTTTTTGCATCGTTTTATGCCTAGATCTTAATGATAATCAGGTACTTAAATATTATGAAGTTTTTATGATAATGTACTTAGATTTTTTTTATAGTATTAAATTTTGTATGTGCCTGTGAGTAGACTGTACGATGTGTTGTTGACTTAGAAGTTACATTGTCTTATGTAGTCAAGTTCTTGTTTACGTGTGACTTAAAGACAAAGGGCGGTGTGTCGTGACCAAATTCAAATACCACGTGTATTCAATTAATGTTCACCATATTTTAACTTGAACATAAAACAATATACAATTGTATCGGTGTGTTTATGAACTTAGAATAATGGCTACGCCTATTGAATTAAGTGTTATTCTTAATACTCACTATTGTGTTTAGTGAATTCTATTGAATTGTTAATTTTTGCAATTATATTTATTGCGGCCTTCGTAAGTCTCAGTTGGTTTTGTTCGAGTTTATATTACGTTATAAAATTAAGTTTGGTGTAATAAATTTTTGGAGTGATATTTTTTGTTTTTTTTTTCCGTTTTCTTTAGTTATAGACCTTTTCTTTGTTACATTCAAAGTACTAATTATGACTGTTACTGAAGCATCAGTCTACAGATATACTTTTTTTAACCCGAAGGTGGAAAATCCTCATGTACACTTAGGGCAGATTTTTAAAAAATCAGTTAATTCTTAACCATAGAACAAAATTGACAGTTGACAGTTTTTAGTATAGAAGAATTGTCAAATAGGTATTGAAAGATATTCCTTAGTTAAAATGTATCTGAGCATTGATAAACTGGACCTTATTAAACTTATTGAGTTACCTAACCTGGTTATTTTATAATTTTCTTCTTATTCATTCTTATCGTCAAGCACTGGTGCTGGATTTGGTCTAGTATCATAAGATTTGAACTCGAAAACCACGCGTCATTGTCACGTAATGCTACTCATGAATATAAGCCTCTAGAATGGATTGAAAGAGAGTTCGTTGCCAAACAGTTACGTGAATAAACCGAAAAACATAATCATTTATTTAGTATGTATAAGTGCTCAATAGTCAGACACTATTTCACAAATCGTCATCATCATCATCAACAGTCGGAAGACGTCCACTGCTGAACAAAGGCCTCTTGTTCCTCCATGTCAAACGACAACTCGCAACCTTCATTTTTTTAATACTTTGCCCCACACTTAGGTTTTTCTCCTGTGTCGTGGGTGCGTTTACAAACATACAAGTTCATATACACATAACACCCAGACCCGGAACCACAATCTGTGGATTACACAGAGTTGTTCCGTGCGGGAATCGAACCCGCGACACGTTGCACGGCAGTCAGTTGCCCAATTACCTCGCCAACAGTGCAATCATCCACGAACCATACAGCCTATTAATTCAACAACAATATATCCCATAATTCCAATGTAGGTACAACAAAGTCATCCTAAACCCACCAAAATATTCCCTTACACGCCAATATAATTCCTATATGATACCAATAATTACACATGGATGAAGTTATACTCTCCAGGGAGGCCACAGTCAATATTTAGATCAGCTGGCCAAAGCAATTTACAATCTGTGAACCCGAATCCAGGATGCTATATATGCAGGCAATTTGCATGCATGCTTCTGTTTCGGATAGACCAGTATATGTACGTGTAGTGTTGGGCATATGCACGAACCCTGATATGAATTTGATAATGTTTTGATTTTGTTACTTATAGTTGTGACGGTGTGGTGTAATGGGTGATGCAAAAACTGTGTTTTTAAGACGATTTAACTCGTCGAGTACCGTCATTATACCTCTAGACACAATTATAGAACAATAGGTTGCGGTCACCGGTGGCCGCTTGGTGTTTGACAGTTTAAACTGAAAGCCTGCCTCGTTGGCCGAGTGGTCGCAAGTGCGACTGCCGGGCAAGGGGTCTCGGGTTCGAGTCCCGGGTCAGGCAAAGTATTACTGGGTTTGTAAAAATCTCAGTAGTAGCACGGAGTCTCGAAATGTGCCCGATATATGGCAATAGGCTCACCCCCTATTACATGGGACTCATAACATAAATAGTGAAAAGTGGTTGTTACATTGGACAGTGGCATTAAGTGCCGTAATGTGCACCTCTTGCCTACCCCTTCGGGGTTAAAGGCGTGATGTTATGTTTATGTTTGTTAAAACTGAAATATTCAAACATCACTCAATTTTAAGTCACACTTAAGTTAGTTTGGTTAGTTAGTATAGTCCTGACACTACGTATTCTTTATAAAATGACAGAGATAGCACGATATTTAATTGCAATTTAAAATTAGTTAGCTTTTCAGCATTCGAGTGTTATTATCGTTTTTGCCATATATGTTATAAGTACCATTGTAATGAGAAGTAATACAAAATAGACCACAATCGTAGAATCCATTTTACTATCTAAAATGTACAACTTAAGAATCCAATTATAATTTGCCCAACTTTACGTAAGCAGTTAACTTATTTTTTCATTACTTGCTAAATATACTTTAAATACAATACTCCATAACCAAACTTAAAAATATAACATTCGCATTTTTAATAAAGTTTGAAAATAAATACAAGAGGAAGTAACCAGCCGCTTCACAATATCGGGTAGAGCTATATGAGATACGTGACTTCAAAGCCTCATAGGACGCGTATTGGCACTCTTACCCTACTCGTAGTCGTAGCATATGACGAGGACTGGTGCTTTTACCCTATGCCTTTGCTTTGAAACGTCCGGGCTTTTACAATATATTGTAAAACGGTAGAATACGAATAAGTTATGCATTTCTGTTCGTCTCCAGTTGTTTGGTGAAGAAATCTAGAAAAACAAGTAATAATGAGTATCATTACTTAATGTATACCTTAATAGAGTAACCATGTAATGTTCCTAATTAGGCATATTATATTATTAGTTATTTTAGATGTAAATTCCAAAAAACTGTGCAAATTTTTAATTTTCTCAATCTAAACTTCATCAGGATCTGCGTTTAATTTACCTGGGATTTAGGAAGAAGTTTAGGAATTTCATCGCAGTATATAAAATATATACTTATAAATTCATCATCGCCATCATCATCAACAGCCTATAGATGCCCGCTGCTGAGATAAGCCTATTCCCACAAAGAGAAGGTTTGAGCATAAATCACCACGCTTGCTCAATGCGGGTTGACGATTACAAACTTACAAATTAGAATTTATATGCTTTCCTTCACCGTTTGTCAGTGGTGTCTAGATAATCTTAGAAAGTACATGTAACTCGGAAAAAGTCACATTGGTACTTGCAGTTGGTAGGTATCGAACCCGTACCCTTATGCATGAGAAGCGAGCCTCTTAAACCTCCGGTCCTCACGACATATATGTAGTATAAATTCACATTACAAACAGACAATTATACTACTCAAACAAAACGCTTCAATACATCAAAACAATAGTCCCCAAGTTTTGTCAGTACCTACATAAGTATAAAAATACGTATATTAATATAAATCGAGGTGGGATCGTCCGTCTTACGTACAGTATATTTATCAGTTGACTGCAGACGCGGTCTGGATTCAACGCGACACCTTTTTAGCCCCTCAACATTTATAACTGAGGTGCAAAGATGTTGGGTCGCTAGATGTGGCCCTATAACATTATATTGTAACGATAAATTATCTAAGATTAACTTAAAATAATGTTTTTTTGTAGCATAAGCCTTTATTAACAACTTTAAATCCATACTATAACCTCAGACAAAGTCAAAGCCAAAATCATTTATTTCAATTAGACCAGGAAGGCACTTTTGAACGTCAAAACAAAATATTTAAATATTAAATAATAAGAAAACATGTCAGTCTGTAGGTCAGTCCTCTAGTGAAGCTATTTGATCGTTCCAAAGTGTAGATTCCTATGGAGAAGAACGAGCAAGAAACTCCATAGGTTACTCTTTTTCAATCATTTTCACAATACAATTTTTGGTTACATTCTTTTGTTGAGTTCAATTATGTGAGAATAATGTAATACCAGACTTAGTCTTATCCAGATATAACCATGATCTTTGTCCCAAGCGTCTTCAGACACGAATAATTTATCTTGGCAGCAATCAAGGGGGTAATTTTCGTGAAGACTGTGCTCTGAAACTATTTCACTAGTTTTCACTGTTTCATTACTCTAAGGGAAATGAGTTTTTTTATATAATTTATTGTATTTTTTTACTTTATATGTATACTGCCTAAGTGGCTATAAAATTATGTGATCAATTTTATAGATAATGTTTTCTCTGTGTATAAAGTATCATAGATTTTTAAGGGGGGGAAATCATCGACTTCTTCCGTCTGGGTGAGGCGGGAGGGAGTGTCAGACTCTTACTGACTAAAAACCATCCCGTTCCTTCTCCTGCAGCCCCGGTAACCCGTTAGGTTCTCCGTGACAAAGTCTCATAGTATAACTTATCTAAGTACTTCAGTAAGTGGCTAATTTGAATAAAATACATTGAAATTTTTAAAAATCTGTATAAGTATGACCAAAATAACGACAGTTCATTTACTTGATATATTCGGAACAATCACAATTTTATATAAAATTATCTCCAATTCAACTCATCGTCGTCTTAACTAATTCTGCTACAACTAATCTTCCAAAACATTATATATACATATTTGAACCAGTAAATGTTGTGGTTACCTGTAATTGTTTGTTACACATAGGCTCATTCCTCTTTGCTTGCTTGTATTATGCTTACTATAGTTGTGTAATCAAATGTTGGTTACTCTTAATAAATAAATAAATAAAACATTCACCCCAACTGTTAAGTATACTTAGCACTAATCAAAAACCCAAAATAAAATCCCATTGAAACTCTTATACAACACAAAACAGATTGACTAACAACTAGACAGGCAGACAGAATTATCTTTCCTTTTTTTCTTGATCCGATTTCCTGACGTTGCCCCGTTTAATGAGA